GGAATATATCCTGGTGGTGTTCAGCCTGGTGTTACGAGACCAGGAGGTGACGGAATATATCCCGGTGGCGTTCAGCCTGGTGTTACGAGACCAGGAGGTGATGGAATATATCCTGGTGGTGTTCAGCCTGGTGTTACGAGACCAGGAGGTGATGGAACATATCCCGGTGGTGTTCAGCCTGGTGTTACGAGACCAGGAGGTGATGGAATATATCCTGGTGGCGTTCAGCCTGATGTTACGAGACCAGGAGGTGACGGAACATATCCTGGTGGCGTTCAGCCTGGTATTATGAGACCAGGAGGTGATGGAACATATCCCGGTGGTGTTCAACCTGGTGTGCAACAAGGACAAGGCATATATCCTCCTGGTGTTGTAACTACAGTAACAACGGGTACTACTGTTGGTGTTAATGCTTATCCAGGTGGTATCGCACCCGGAACTGGCTTTCCGGGAACGGCATATCCGGGAGCTCCTGGGACAGGAACTTATCCAGGAAGTGGAGTTTATCCTGGCAGTATTCAAACGGGTGTCATTCCAGGACCAGGCGCTGGCACATATCCCGGTAGCATTGTTCCTGGCGGAACAATAGGTCAAAAAGTTTATCCTGGTACTGGACAGCAGACTGGTATTCCAGGAGGGACAGGTCAAGGAGTTTACCCTGGACAACAGACTGGTGTGACTTATCCCGGTGGAATTGTACCAGGTACTATTGTACCAGGTGGAGGTCAAATTCCTATCATAACAACCACAGATTCAAGAGCTGGCGCTGGTTCGCAAGTGATAACTCCAGGTCAAATAACGAATGGTCAACTAATTTATCCAAGTTCTGGTGGTATCACTCAAGTTGGTAGAACAGATGGTGTACCAGGTATTCAAGGCACATATCCTGGCACATATCCCGGAAGTGCGCAACTTGTTCCTGGTGGCTACTATCCCAGTCAAGGAATTTACCCCGGAGGTGTTCAGATACCAACGCACCCAGGAGGACAGTATCCAAGTACTGGAGGAACAGGCGTACCAGGAGTTCAATATCCAATAGATGTAATGGGTCAAACAACAGGAAGAGGTGAAAGTCCTCGAGGATTTCCTGGACAATATCCAGGCGGACCAGGAGTCAGTACTGGCTACCCAGGAAGACTTTATCCAGGAACAGGTGGAACTACAGGTACTGGTGATGATTCGCAGTACTACTCGCAAGTTGGAGGACCAGGCGGACCGGCGGGCATAACAGACGACGGTTCTGAGTCACAAGCGTCGAGCTCTGTACAACAGGTGGATTCGGGCACTCAAGCAAGTGCCTCGGCACAGGGTAAATATGGTTCGGGCACGGCCCAGTCGCAAGTAACGGGCACGTACAGCGGTTCCGGTGCCTTTTCGGCACAAGCTGGCACTAGCGATGCCAATAAGGGCGCACAGACTGAGGTCAGTGGCGGTAAGGAAGGAGCTACCAGCAACGCGCAAGGCGTCGCCGGTTATGGAAAGAGTCAGTCTCAGGTTCAGTTGGATTCCGATTCTGGAGCCACCTCGACAGGTGCTCAGAGCAGCGGTTGGAACCACGGCACGAATTCTCAAGTGCAAGCAAGCTCCAAAGGCGGAATGGCGGACGCTCAGGCTAACGGCGAAGGCAGCACTTCTAGTCAAGCGCAGATTGGATTCCAACCGTATTTAAAAAACGATGACGAAAAGTTGGAGGAGCGTTCGACACCGTTCCGTGGCAGTGGAACAGCGTCGGCTCAAAGCGGCACTCATCGAGGTCAGTCCCAGTCGCAACTGCAAGGTTCCTTTCAGTACGGAATCACCTACACCGGTGCGGCGCAGGCCGGTTCCGGATCTGGCGCCGCATCCTCGCGGAAACCCTTCAACTTTACCGACACTGAGCTCTTTAAACCGTTCAAAGTGGACCCTTCTCTGAAGAAACCAACAAATACTGACACTTTATCAAGTCAACCGGTAAATCCAAATTACGACAATAAACAGGACAATCGCGAGCAAAACTTGCAGAGCAGCTCGTCAAGACAAACAGTCGTTGTAAGTTCTAAAGATAGTTCAGACGGTGTTACAAACAAGAAGTTAACAACCACCGAAAAACCTCAAACGGACGACGCGACATACGACGATTACACAACAGACGACGAATACACAGACGATGATGATTATTCCGCGGTGGCGGGTCCAAAATTGACGATTCAAGAGAAGATCTCGGGAACTTTCCCTAGCTCGAGTCATGAGAAACTCAGCAGAACCGTTCAGCAACAGGACCGCAGTCAGTCGCAGACAATACAAGTCACAAAAGGAAATCGATACGATCTTCACGTAAATCAAGACTCGAATATACCGCGAACAGGCGACATTCTTCAACCGGGACAATCTGTGTTGGGATATATCATACCGCCAGGATTTCGTGGTAGAGTTACGTCAACTTCTGGTGCTGAGACCGTCGCCCAGGGCGACGGTAAATCCCAGTCTCAAACGGTATCTTTGGTGCCGAAGGATATGAACACGACCAAGTCGCCCGGCACGGAAACCAGATCGCTTCAAACCAATCAAGAACGTTACGTTTCCCGGCATACAATACAAACGAACAATAAGAAACAAGGACTTACTGTTAATAATCAAAACGCATCGTCCGACAAACAAGCGAGACCTACTCCAGCTGTGGCCATAAAACCGAGTTACTACACGGTGACCAACAGTTTTGCCGGCAAGATGAACGGCAGTCACCAACCGAGAAAATACGAGCATCGTTATTACACTAAGAGTTCCACTTGCGGATACTTCACGTTCTCTTGCAACGTCGTGTACGGTTCTAACGGTAGGACAAAAATCTGCAAACCGAAAGTACCGACGTATCCCGACGGGACGCCTATGAAATGTTGAACAGCCCAGAGATGGATGCGGAGAAATGCGTGTCATTAATTGTCGTATCATAGGGGAAAGGGGGGGGAGGTTTCAATAATCCACATTTCTTGATGTAATCGCAAAGGATCCTTTTGAGTTCGCCTGTTCTCTTCACTTGTGTAATGTTGAAATTTATATAACACGCGTTCATAGAGTAGAGAAGTCGTATATTTGTGACTATAATTGCTACTATTTATTAAGTTCATCAATAAAATACATATCTTAATTAGGAGAAAAATCTTTGTTTTTTTTGTTTTTTTTTGTTTTTTTTTTTTTATCCTCTTCTCACTGTAGTTAAGAAATATAATGGTAATAACAATCTTTCTCAAAGTTCATTGTAGATGATCTCGTGATACAATATATAATGGTATTTGTTTGAAATTTTTTACGTCTATCTATACCCTCACTAACTATCAGTACATCTGCGACAACGGTATTACTCGCAAATACGTATATGTAAATAGAATGTGTTTCAACTTACGCGCTACGTTAGATTTTTTCGATATTGACGTAAAAGGCTCAATTATAAATATCAGGTATCGTATCTTGTACATATTGTATTCGCTAGTCTCCACTTCGCCCAGTCTTTTTCGAGATGACGAAACGTACAGTCACATTCGTGTGTGTGATATATATATATATATTTTATGTGAATGTATGTACAATACTTTACATCGGATGTGTATATATATATAAAAAAAACCATACGATCGTACGGAATATATAACGACGCGGAATGTAAAATTGTTTATAAAAAATGCGCGCGATAAGAAAAGAAATCATATTCACAATTCGAAGTAAAAAAAAACAAAAACATACGCGACGATACAAAAGTATTTACAAAAAAAATGAACACAATGTGTCATGAGTTAAATTAATTGCTGAGCAGTAAATACTGCGATACAAATGACTGCTCACACCGACGAGCAATTGCATATTACATCAATATGCCACTATTTATCTATATACATTCATCTATACACATACACGCTACTGGAAGTACAGTCATGTTTTTTTTTTTTTTTTTTTTTTTTTTTATGCTTGCCGTTAAACATCGCGGCGGACGCGTACGGCTCACAGAAGTTACTCAATACTTACAATGTTGTTTTTTTGCGGAGCATCGCGTCCACGAAGAGAGTCAAACGTTAAAACAAAAAACGAAGAATCGTCATTATACTCTGCACTTTTTTTAGGCCACTTAGAGTATCGCTTATCCGATTTGCATCTTCGTTACTTGGCTCAAACATGCAATTGCCGTTCGCACGAACGAATACTAGGCTTGTTGCTGGTCGTATACTGAAACAATAAGAAGTTTTAAGTTACAATTTGTCTTTGTTAATAATCCAATTTGAAGATAATCGTTGTTCTAATATTAATTAAACGTACTCTCGGCATATTCATCAGGATTGGTAACTTGAAATTTTTCTTCTCCCGCTCCGTCTATTTCACCGTCCGCCACGGCCGTGTCGTTGTTGCTGCACAAAAAAAAAATAAAACATTTCTCAAACTTATTGCAGAGAACTCTGCGAGATGAGACATGTATATTTCGCGACTAATATTTATTCTCTCTATTTACCTATTTCTAAAATGTTCCAATTGTACGTTCGCGGACTCCAATTGCTCCATGAGATCCTCATTAGCACGTTGCAACTTTCGTACGTTGTTCGTAGCCGAATCAACCTCGTTTTGAGCGGCGGCCAACTCCTTCTTCAATTCCTCGACTCTCGCTCTCACTCGCTTCACTTCTGCCTCGTACTGATCGGACCGTCTCGTCGCATGCGACAATTCCGTCGTTTTCTCTGCCAAGGATTGCTTCAACGACGCCTGATACTGCTTGATTTCGAGCAATACCTACAAAATAATCTTTTGTGAAAAAAAAAAAATCGAGTTTTGAAAAACGAGTTTAATTTGACAGAAATTTTAATGCGCGGACCATGTTGCGAATTAGAATTTCATGTTGTAGCTGTTTCGTGTCTGCGTCCACCGTGGACGCTGGACGTGATCGTCTGGATTCTAGTTTTTCTTGCAACTCTTGTATTTTCAAGCGAAGCATCTTGTTCTCTCGTTCCAAACCAAACTTCTCAGTCTCTAATTTCTCTCTTTTGTCCCATTCGGCCGCATTTTCATCCTGAAGTCTCTCGAGCTGAAGTAATTTATAACAATAAAATTTATATAAATTTTACAAGTAGCATTGATTAAAACCTATACGCACACATATATATTTGTGATAAATCACTTACTTCGGTTCTCAATTCGTTCAAACGACGATCCATGCTCTCACCGTTATTCGTATCATTTATCAGATCTTTTATACACTCCTCGCTAAGCTCAAGCTGAAACCGTTCTTTTAATTCCGACAATTCTCTCATCGCATCCGCTCTACTGTCTGATAATTTCTCGCACTGCTCTCTCAACTGCTTAACTTCAGCTTTTAACTTTTCCACAGTACGATGCAAAGAATCTTTTTCCCTTTTGAAAAAAGTGAAATTAAATTAACGAATAAGTAACAGATTTGTTTTTGCATGATGTTTCATATCATACTCACTCTCTTTCTACAGAGATAGTTTTTGTCGCCTCTTCCAATTTGAGTTGCAACATCGACATTTTTTCTGTCAAACATTCTTCAGTATAAATATCTAATGGGGATTGCTGCTTCTCTAACACATCATTTCTGATGTTATGATCTACGACTAGTTTTGTGTTGTTTTTACCTACAGGAATGTCTTTATACAATTCTACCGCGTGTTTTGGCACTGCACCTTGCAAGACATACTCCTCTATATCCCTTTCTGGCAAGAGATTGTGACTTCCGGAGGCGACATTCGACGCTTCGCGCGAAGTCTCACATGATAACTTTTGCGCATTCAGTGCGTCATTGGATTCGACATTGTTATAAAACTCCAACTGATCGTCCAGACCAAATGTTGATCTCAATTGCGGATCGGATTCCAACATGATAAAAATTTGCTGGTCAAATTGTCCGGCATGTTTCAAGAGGATCATGTGTATCTTCTCCATCTCTTTCTTCAATTGTTCATTCTGCACTTCCAGTTCTTGAGATTCGTACTTGAAAGTATTAGCGTCCTTGATCGCAATCTCTAATTTCGCTTTGAGAGACTTTATCTCCTCTCTTGCCTCGTTCCTCTCATTCCGAACTTTGCTCCATTTCTCGCGCCAATTAGCGGTACAATCCGACCACCATCGCATTGTTTTTTCCATTTGCGCCGCCCGTGCTCTCGCCTCTTCGAGTTCTCTCTGTCGTAAAGCCTATTTTTGTTTAAAAACAGAAAAACAACATGTCACAATCAAATAAAAAAAAAAGGATAAACAAAATACTTTTTTTCAAAATACTTTTTTTTTTTTTTTTTTAATTACCTCCTTGGACTCCCATTCGCTGTCCATGTAACGCGACGAGGTGGTTGGCACTTCATGTTCCCTCATATATCGTCGCGATGAGGTTCCACTTGTTGTTGATTGTGCCATGATACGAGATGCGGGTAACCTGCAACTTTGTTTTCGCCGTAACAAATGCTTCAACGATCTCTTCGAGATGTTTTCAGTCGCCCCTTTCGACCTTGGAGTGTAACTGACTTGACGTTAATCAAACATTATTTTGTTTTTTTTTTTTTTTATATTTAATTGTACTGTTTACAAATGCGTTATCATTAAACTCGAGCAACCAACGAATTCCGCATATGCCATTGACTTGACCGACTTGACAGCGGCACACAGCAAAATCGCACACTTTGGTTTGGTGCAGAGTGCAGGTGTGACTCCAAATCGCACACCTTGTATCATCAGCAGAGAAAAGAATGAGAGCGGCCACGGCCCCGGTTTAGCTGTTATCGCCGTTTTTGCGTTCTGTTTGCCAGCGCTTTGTTCACCGTGGAGCACGTTGGCAACTACGTAGCCATGTTTACGAACGGTTTGTCGGTGAGTATGCTGCTGTGTATGCGCATATGTGACTCACGTATGGATTCTTGGCCAGAGATAATCGAACAGAATCTTTTGTTACGGGTATCGGCTAGTTTTAATTGTGGCTAAGTCTAAACGCGCAAAACGTGAAAATTAGCGAAGAATTTTATAAGATCCAGGAGAAAAGAATCTTCACGTTTTGTCAATAATTTCAAATTATTTATTCCGTGTTATATCGCAGATATATTTATTACACATGGATACATTTATTTATATGTAAGAATTTATCTTCGCCGCTTCCTGCCACTTACATTTTTCACGGGATTTACCCGTTTTCCCTTTCCTCCCTTCGGTTTTTTACCAGTTTTGCTCTGCTGTTTTCCCGCGTGCCTCTTTTGACCTGGCCTGGACGACTTTATTCTGTAAAACGTAATAGGTGTTATATCGAATGTTTGACGACACAATGGCGAATCAAAGTGTCAGGAGAAGAGATTGTTGAAAACTCACTCCGCGGTTCCTACTGAATAGTCTTCACGAAGAATTTTTGTGTTGCCTTTTAAAATGTTATCCGCCAGATCTTTGTTTTTGCATTTTTCTTCCTCCTCGTTCAACGGAGGTGCTTTCCTCTTTCTCTGCACATTTACCAGTTTAGAGATTCCCTTCGCATCTTTCTCTTTTGGTAATCTATAAAAAATATGTACCATAAACACATCAGTAAAATAATTTTGCATTTTTACACCTTGCAATTTTAGCTTGTATGTATGTATTCTTAAAGAGCATTTACCTTGACTGGAATTTTCCAAGAGACGCGGTCGACATACGTGCCACAGTAACAGCTTTAGAAAGTTCTTCGGAACGTCCTAGGAAATGCTCCTGAGTAGGCAGACCAACTTGTGGCAACTTGACATTTTTTGATCTGGCTATGTTGCGAAGTCTCTGCAATTCATTCTTAGATTGCCTTTCCTGTTTATCTTTTTTCGCTTTAGAAAATGGATCTTCCGATGGATCAGTTTTATTGTTTACTTCCACCAGCCAATCCTTCTGCTCTTCGGCCTTTGCTCGTTTATATCCATAAGTAGGAACCCATTTCTGTAACAGTTTAGATATAAAGATATGAATCATGCTAATAGTTTTTTGAGAAACAAGAAAATGGTTTTAAATAAAACTAAAACATGCACTCTACCTTCAATTCGTTGTCCCATTTCACTTTAGGTTTTTTATTCTTCTTCAACAATATTCCCTTTGTTTTTGCAAACTGTTGCCACTTGGTCAGAGGTTTCGGTTTCGGAATTGTACGTGAGCGCGGCAACACGTATTCAGGTTTGGGCAATGTAGCCACTACAGCTTCATCTACCCGCTCAATCGGCAGCTCCCAGATTTTATTGATCAGCAACTGCACGTTGTCTCTTGTCAAATCTTTCAAGTACGAGTTCGGTTTTTCTCTGAACACGGAAACAAAAGAGTAACACATTGTTCAGATAACAGATTGTCAACAATAAATCGCAAATTTGCAAGAGAGAGAGAGAGTATAGGATTTACTTGAGTGGTTTCATCTGCAAAGCATCATAATCGGACGCGAGCAAAGTTCCGACATCGATATCGAGCTGCACGTTCTTGTCAACAGTTGTGGATTTACTTGGATCATCTTGCTTGTCTTCTAGAATTGCCTTGACAATATCCATTTTAGAGTCTTGAGCGCGATTTTTAATATACTTCACGACTTTATAACATTAAAGACCAAAGACCACGCGACATTGCGGCCACACGTGACTTGAAGATTAGGCGAGGAGAACGGATTTTTACGTGCCGCGGCCTCTCACTCTGTAATCACTTTTCCGCCCCGTAAACTAGCGCATGTCCACGGGTGGTACACATTGGAACTACGCAGCCAGTCCACGAGCGACATGTCGGTGCGCTATGTCCACAACGTGCGGTTCTATTCTGTGCTATGTGCACGCGTCCAAATGGTCACCTTCTTCAGGCGTGTCAGTATATTCGAGAGCGTGGATTTGATTTCTTTTGAAATTTAAAATGATCGGTCTCGTGATGAGAAGATACGAAAGGAGAACAGAAAAGGATTAAAAAAAAAACATTGCAACTTTCCACACAACATAAATGTGATATACAAGAAAAGATGTGATAGCGAAGAAAATAATATTATTCTAGCGAGCAGCATCAGAATTCGTGGAGTGTATCATCTCCTTTTGCATCATCATTTGCTGCTTTTTGCTTTATAAATTTTATTTTATTTTTTCAAAAATTACATATATACGTATAAATACAAATTACACAAAAAGAAATGTTATATTACACAAAGGTGTTTTGCCGGTACACAAATATATACGTCTGAAAAGTTGCAATTCCAAAAAGGATATCTATTAATCTGCTTTATTACAATTCTTTATCAGTGTGTTTTCAATTTTCAAGTTTCATTTTACAATTTTTTATACATTACACTAGAATACAATAGTTTACATATATTACATACAACATACAATATAATACAATATTATACAATATACATAGTATATATAATCCTACCTACCTACCTACCTATCTTAGACATCTGACATATCTTAAACGTTACTAGCCTTATTAATTAGGATTAAGGCTGCGTAACAACCTTGATCCTAATTTGACATTTTGATTTCTTTCTACTTATTCGGTCTACCATATTTCCTACCTACCCGGCCTAATATATTTTCTACAAGCGCTTGTAGATACGCATCCCTACCTACACAGCCTATACCTATTTACCTACCTACTTCGAAAAGTTTTAAACTCTATCAAATATTTTACGCGAGGGGCAGTTGTTTTAAAATTAAAAAGTATTATTTTAAATTTATTTTACTTTCGCGACCGAGTTTTTATATTTTATTTGATTTAAAGAAAGTATATACCCACCCGATAAAAGCGTACCATATGTAAAT